GCATCGGGGAGAGGGAGAGAGGGAGGGAGGCTGGGAGCCGGGCTGGGGTGGGGACTAGGCCGGGCCCCGCGGGAGCCCCGCCCGCCGCTGCCCCCGGAGCGACAGCGCTAACGGCCGCCGCGGCCTCTGCCTCATAGAGGGGGGCGGGGGGCGCGCGGAGCCCAGCGCGAGCCCAGGCCGCGCGCCGCAGCCACCGAGGACCGCCCCGTGTTGCGTCACTTCCGGGGGGTGTGCACATGCCCGTTCCCCGGGTGCGCTCGCGCCGGCCTTCATGAAGGGTGACGTTACGCGCGTCCTGGGCCGCTATTGGCAGTGAACTGTTCCTCGCCCGACTGTTGGTCTCCTGCCCGACCCTTGCTTTTCACTTCCCGGGCGCTCAGGTCGAAACCGCACCTCGCCGTAAAGGTGGAACGGGCCTGAAAAGCCTGATCTGGTCCTAGGAGAGAGCTGCTGGCCTTGGGAGTATCTCTGGTTCTAGTCCCGCCTATGTCGCTTGCGATATGTGACCGTGGTGGAGTCATTTCTTCATTGACTAAGTGAATCCCCTGGCATCCAGTGAATATTTATGGAATGATACATGAGTGTGTTACATACAGACCCAGCGGTGTAACTGATAAATGTTGGACAGTCAACTCTGTAGGGGAAGAAGGGGAATTTATGCACCTGTGAACAGGTATATATATGTTTATCATAAATTGTACTTATGTAAAGGATGTGTAATATACAACTTGTAAACAAATATACAGTTGCAAATTCCATATAACCAATGATTTTTACAGAATCCTTTCATTGATTTTCGCCAAAGGATAGCCAACCTGTGGTTTCAACTGACCAAGGAGTGTAATTGCAACATCAATGTTGATGTTTTCTTACATGTCAGTGTAAGAGGAAAATGAAAAACCAAGAATCTTAGCTGTCACTCACAGGAGCAAGTTCTTTGCTGAATCAGAAAGTGATTTTTAAACACTGAAAGAATATTTCTTCAGTTTTTGTGCTATTCACAATATAGTGGCTATAGGCATAACACATTAAAATTAAATCTGAATGGCTAATATTTTCTCCATGACTTTCTTAAGTCTACATAATTGACAAAACAATAAATCCTTGATTTGTAACACTTGCTGGTTTCCATAGAGTGAATCCTCCCACCATGGGTAATTTCAATCTACCGACTTGACTTTACCCAACACAGAGTTAAAGAGAGATGGGCAGTAGCCTACCATTAGGTTGTAGTTTCATCATGTGATGTAGTGACATAAATAACCCCAAGAGCATAGGTAAATAATAATGGTAAAGTAATTAGGAAGTGATGGCTTTTGATAATTTACCACCCTTGTTTTAGTATTATGTAATTATAAGTGCATTGTTTTTAAGAGTGGCTGTTTAACAACTGGCTTGCAAAATACCTGAAATTTTAACAATTGGCTTTCACAAGGCCTGCATGAGCCAGCTCCACAGCTAGACCTGTTTTCTCATCTGCAAAATAGGGATAAGGATTGCTGCTGTACTTACTTGAAATCATGTTATGAAGATCAAATAAAATCAAGCTGCTTGTGTAGAGAAGATAAGACTGGAGGAAGACTAGTTAGGAAACTACTGCAATCATCCCATGAGTGATGTTGAATATAGAGGATAGAGAGGAAGGATCAGCCAGCAGAATTTAGCAACTTTAGTATTAGAGGGTGCACAGAGGGGAAGAGAGTCAAGCATCTGCTAGGAATCCTGCAGCCAGAGACCTTGACCTTTTTAAATGGAGATTTGTCCATAGGTTGTGATTATAACCCTTCATAGTTTCCCATTGTTCTTAAGCTAAAGACGAAACTCCTTAAGGAGGCTTGTGGGGTCCTGTGTAATCTGACCCCTGCCTCTCTCTGGTCTCCTCTCCCTCCAGTTTCCACCGTGTTCGCTCTCCCCTGCAGTTCTAGTCCTCTGTGGGGTTCACACACATATGCTCATCGCATAAGCTTTTCCCTTTCTTTGAAAAGCTTTTTCTCTCTCTTTCTGCTTAGTAAACTCCTAATCATCCTTCAGATTGAATTTACTCCTTACTGCCTCAGGGAAATCTCCCTGCCTGGGCACTTGCTCCCCATGAAGATCTAAGACCACTCTCTTATGTTGTACTTACTTGCACAGTTATAGTGTGTCGTCTATCTGTGGGGTTATTAAAGTCTATCTCCCTACTAAGCTGTAATCTCCAGGAGGACAGGGACCACATTTGCTTTTTGTCCATCATGGACTAGTGCCAAGGACTGTGCCTGACACAGAGTAGGGCCTTGATACATAAGTATGGAATGGTTGTTCAACCTTACACCTTGTAAGAATCTTCTGATAAATATTCATTTCTAATTAGCACAACAGTATTAATCCTTTCTTGCCCATGAAGAAGCTGAAGCTCAGAGAGTTACTAAGACCCGCAGTTCAAAAGGTGTGGTGTAATTCAAACCCAGCTCTGTCTGATTCCAAAGATTTTATTTTTTACCATCTCCCCCTCAGCTACCTCTTAGATGTCACTCAGATTTCTCGTGGAAAGAAGGGAATTTACAATAGGATTACAGAACACCTGAGGCCAAGAAGACCACCCAAGATTCCCAGCTGTCTCTGGTCCCCAGAACCAGTTACCCCAAAAATGCGGGGCTTGTAGTTCTGCAGCGCCCTCTGCTGTCCACCTACTTTCTTGCCTGACTTCTGTCAGCCATCTGGGGTATCTCCACCTGCGCAGAGCACACAGCAGCACAGGGGAACACTTACAGACTCCAAGGCAGGGTAAGGAATGCTGCCTTTTTCCATTTCCTGAAGTGTCCAGGCCTGTAGCCCAGGTCCTGGGATAAACATTGAAAATTAAGCTCCAAGCAAAGGAAGTATATCTTTGTATGAGCTGGATTTATGTGTGTTTGTTGAGCAGGTTGTATGTCTACATGTACCTCTTTCACTGAGGGCTATCTACGTAAGTGATCTCTGTAGTGGTAGGACCCTAGTTTAAAAGCTTTGTGAAGAACAACTCAGAGACTCTAAACCAATCCTGAGATTCACTTAGCCATTCAGCGATGGTCTAGGCCTTGGGGTGTGGTGACCACTGAGGCAAGCGTAGTCACTGCCTCTCTGGAGCTTGGCATCTCTTTTGAGTCCTAATCATGCCATTTCTTGGATGCGTGACCAAGAGCAAGTAATTAAACATTTTTAAATCTGTGTTTGATTTGTAAAAATAGGTCAATAATAATCCCCCCCTTGATGGAGTTCCTGTGGAGATTAAATGAAAATTCACATGTAAATGCTCAAACATTATATAAACATTAGTTATTATGAAAAGCTTCTGGGTGGAAAAAAACAGCTTACTATTATATCTTCACCCACTGTGTTTTCTTGGCCCTCAACTCACCATAACCCGTAATACCAGGAATGTGGTGTGGGTCACTTGCTCCCCTGTCCCTCTCTTTCTGTTGGCACACAGAATCAGAGGCCAAGGAGAGAGCTATGAATGAGCTATGGATGGTCTGAGCCCAGTGACCACTCACTGGCTTTGTGGCCTTGAGAAATTCACTTTGCTGACATTTAGTTTTAGTTTCAGTTTCCTTCTCTCTCAGAGAAAGGTCTAGGTTGTAGGCACTTCTAGTTCTGACATCAGAGGGATTCTGCTGGGGGTTTGGTCTCTGGCCCCCTTCCCTTTCTCCCACCTCTTACCTTTCCACTTAGAGTTCCAAAGCAGAATTGTTATTTGCAAAAGCTACGTGAAAAGCAAGGGAAATTTTTAGCAACCACAACCCATCCCTTCCTGCATAGTGATCTAGGACACCAAAGGTTTAAGATGGGGGTGGGCAGCAGTGAGAAGGGAAGCCGAGAGATGGCACGTGCACATGGGTCCAGATGGCTGGTGAGGGGGAGCACATCAGCAATGGAAAGGCGATAGAAGAGGCAGGGTGAGGAAGGCAGGGACTTGTTCTGTGGCTGTCCACAAGAACTGACACCCTTCTGGATCCGAGGAGGCTGCCGTGACAGTACTAACTCTGGCCACCCCCAGCTGTTGTGTCTGACAGTGGGAAGAATGTGGGCACTAAGAAACCCAGGAAGAGCAAGAGGTTAGGCAGGGTTTTCATGAGGAAAGGATGGAGACAGGACTTAGGATAACAAAGGCAGCAAATGAAGGTAGAAGAAACAAGGAAAACCATTCAGTTTCTTTTCCCCTGCACGCATCACCTCCCACCACCACTGGCTGTGGTTGTTAACTCTGTGGTGCAGAAGGAAGGCGCCCCCAGTGGGGAGGTGGAGACCTACCAGCGGCTCTCACTATGTCAAGAACAACTGTGTGGTGTTGGGAAGTCCCTTCACCTCTCTGGGTCTTGATTTCTTCCTCTGTAATGAGGCTTTACTATGGTCTCTGAGCTGGAATAACAGGGTGATGGCAGTGGTTGGACGGGGCCATGTAGAGGAGTCGGGGCTCTGGGTTTGAGTCTCAACTGAAAATGAGCAGCTACATGATCTTGGGTGAGTCTCTGATCCTCAGTGTCTGCACCTGTGAAAGAGGGCTAAGCATAGTCACCATAGTGGTTGGGGGGAAAATTCATTGAGATAACACGCAAGAAAAACACCTTATAAATAGCCAGAGTCTGGACAAAGATTGATTATGGTTATATTAGGCTCTCTTCCCCACTCTCGCAATCCCCAGTCTCAAATTCCTGTTCAGCAGCATTGTTAGAAGGGCACAGCCAGCCAGAGCTGTGCCAGGAGGGGCAACTTGGCCCTTTATCATGCCCATAGCCACTGCTGCCAGGAGGCTGAGTGGAACAGAGGGGTGGAGAGAGGGGCATAGGCTTATCTGTGGTTGCTATGGTGCCCCATCCTGGATTTGCCCATCTCTCCTAGTGGAGCAGAGGGCAGAGGAAGGGAGGGAGAAAATGCCTGGTCCCTTCCTCTCCCCTCCAGCTCTCCCTCTCTGGAGCTGATGTGGGCAGGGGAGGTGGGGGAGGGAGCCTAGATCCTAGATAAGAGGGGGAGGGAAGAGTGGTGTGCCAGGATTAAGAGGGTTTGCAATGAGGGGCTACACGGAGAGAGAAGGGGCAGAGCCCTCATGCCTATATCCAGAAGCCAGCTGATGACGTGAGAGAGAAGAAAAAACAGGCAAGACAGCGCCAGCATGAGAGAAGGAAAGAGGAAGAGAGAAAGCAAGGGTAGGTGTGGAGGCAGGCAGCCCCAGACTTCAGCCAGCCTCTGCCTGGTCTCTTCTGAGCTGCCAAATTCTCCAGGATGGGCACCAGGGAAGTGGTCATGCCCCCTCTGGTGTGGGGGCTGCTAGGCTGCTGTTTCCTCTGCAGCTGGGCTCTGGGGGATCCACGGCTGCTCCACTCTCTGCCCCCGCTGTCCTCCCCAGTCAAGCCAGGATCTGTACCTGTGTGGGTATCTCCGGAGGGGCCTAAGGCAGCCCTGGCTTTTCTCTACTCTGGAGATGCCCGACAGCTCTCAGGGGCTAATTGCAGTGAACGCTATGAAGCCCACGGGGCAGGAGGCAAGCCAGGGCTCTCCCCAGTCCTATGGAGGGCAGCAGGCACCCTTACCCAGGCTGCTAATTTCCTCAACATGCTGCTACAAGCAAACGACATCCGTGAATCCAGTGTGGAGGAGGATGTGGAGTGGTACCAGGCGCTGGTCCGCAGCATGGCTGAGGGAGACCCAAAGGCCTATCGTGCTTTGCTGACCTTTAACTCTCCACCGGGGGCCATTCACCCACAGCTGGCCCTGCAGGCCACCCGGATAGGGGAAGAGACCATCCTTCAAGACTTGTCTGGGAACAGGGTGCAGGAGAGCCCAGCTGAGGCCCTGGACACCTCTGCCCTGCAGAAGCGGGTGCTGACCAATGACCTAGGGAGCCTCGACAGTCCCAAGTGGCCCCAGGGGGATGGATATGTGGGGGACATGCAGCACGTGAGACTGTCTCCTCCTTTCCTGGAATGCCAGGAGGGCCAGCTCCGTCCAGGCTGGCTTATCACACTCTCAGCCACCTTCTATGGACTTAAGCCAGACCTCAGCCCGGAGGTCAGGTAAGTGGGATTTGGAGGATTGGATGCATTTGTAGGTATGTGCATGGGCCATTTAGCATGCATATGTGTGTCTGGAGGCACAGATGCATGTAATTGCAGTCAAATCCGGGAATCTATAACTATGTGTTAACACATGCAGGTATGTGTACAGACTGTGTGTGAATCAATCCATTTACACATAGGTATACACATGTGTGTATGTGTAGAAATGTGTGCGCATAGCCAGACATAGGTCTTGTTCTCCAGGTCTGAGTAGTGTTGTGAAGCAGAAGAGGGCTTGGTGTGGATGACAGTGACAGTCCAGGCACCAGACTTCCTGCAAGAGCCTGGTGGGCCCTCCAAGAGTCCAGCCCACTACTTTCTAGCCATCTAGAGCATAAAAGCAGGCTTCTCCAAGGGAAGGAGAATTTTTGCGGGGAAGCTTGGAATCACTGCCCTTTCTGCCCAGGAGTTGGCCAGGTCCCCAGGGTCACACCCAATGGCTATATTCTTACATCAACTTGGTTCCACTGTCCTTCCTGTCCTGACCCAGATACTTAATGATATTCCTCAAATAATTGACCTCCTCCCTCAACCAGAGAAAAGAGGTGATTGAGAGCTCTGGTGGGAAGGAGACAGCAAATGGCCACAGTACTGCGATACATTCAGAAATCAACATTGTTTTCCAGCTATGTGTCTCTAGTAGGGCTCCCTTCCTGCAGGAAGGCAGCCTGGCTTCTTGCCAGCTCTCATCCCCTTCAGCCCAGAGCAGAGGTTAGGAGTCCTTGGGCCAGGCAGTGCCATTCCTTATCTCCCTTGCTGTGACGGAGACGTGGTTTGGGCAGAGTGGGAGGGTGGTCAATAGCTGAGCTGTATGTGTGTGTGTGTGTGTGTGTGTGTGTGTGTACACATGCAGTGGGAAGTGTGAAAATCTCCTTCAGACCAGATCATCAGAGCCCCAGCTCCCACATATCTTGACATGCCTCCACCCATTGATAGAAACCAGAACATGCTAGGATGTTGAAAAGCCAAGGGAAGATGGGGACAACCTTGGGGAAGGGAGACTGTTGCCCGCAGAGACACTGAGGGCTAATGGCACTGGAGAAATGGAATGCATATGTTCCCTCTTTCCCAACACACTCCAGCCACTGTGCTAAATAAAAGCTTGCAAAGCTTGCATTGCCCCATAGTCTGGGGCTCAAGGACACATGTCCGCTTTGGCATCCTTCACTGTACAGCTAACTCCCAATTCATGCCCTAGGGGGCAGGTGCAGATGGACATAGATCTTCAGAGTGTGGACATCAATCAGTGTGCCAGTGGCCCAGGCTGGTACTCCAATACACACCTGTGTGATCTCAATACCACCCAGGTAAGCATGAGGATGGGGAGTGGGGACTAGGGTCATGCCTCCCTCCCTCTTTCCCACGACTGCCACCAGGTCCTAGAAGCAGCTGACAAAGGCACACAAGCCTCTCAGGGCTTCAGGGGAGCACCTAGTGATGAGATAGAGATGAGATGAGATGTTAGGCTTTTTATAAGTGAGGATACTGACAGCCTACACCTCCATCTCCCACTCAAGTCACCTCCATTCCTTTGAAGTCTCAGTTTGCCTCCTATCTGCTCTCCTTTTGGGTACTGAGTGCTCCAGAATCCCTCCCCAGGGCCATATCCTGAGCCTCTATTAATCATCCCCTTTCCTTCCCCTGGACCATGTTCTACATGTCAACAGAGCTCTAGGCTCCTTCTGGCCCACAAAGGATGCTCTGTTGTTGTTTATCCAAATAAGTGGAATTGCTGGTTGGGGTATGGGAGAAACTTAACCAAAGAAAGAGCGTGAAGGGCTCTGGGACTGGTGATAGTGATGGAACCCAGGCCAGATATTGGCAGAAGCAAAGCCATGGATGCAGGAAAATCTGGATAATGGAAAGCAATGGCTGGTAATCCTGCAAGCCCAGTACTGGGAACCTGGGAGGCCAGGGAAATAATCTGCTCCCTTGTTACACTGACTACATGTTTGTTCCTGAGCTGAACCAAAGCCAAGGCCAGCCCTGCAGCCTGCTGGGAGGTGGGACACATTTGAGCATCTGCTGCTCTTCAGGGTACATGCATTGCAGCTATAAATCCAGGGGTGGAGAAAGGCTCCCATGGGCCAATGTACTTTTAAACCCAGCCACATACAGGTCTCTGGGTACGCATTTAACTGATTGTGTAGACTGCGGCAGGAACAGAGTAAGTTCAGTGGTCTGGGCAAGAGGGGAAGCTGGGTCACGATTTCAGAAGCACCACCCTCTAACCCTCCTTGGTGATGTCAGGGGCTGGACAGGAAATCTCCCAAGGTTAACTCTTTCCTTTGTCCCACTGCTGTCTGTTCCCAGTCACTCCCCACAGCAGATCTAACCTCATCCATGTGCTCATCTTCCCTGACTGGCTCTGAGGTCTAGTCTGTTCCCTGCTGTGAAAACATCAGTGGGTGGCGATGAACTAAAGAGCTGGCCTTAGCATCCCACCACCCTGGCATTAGCCTGGCACTGGGGCTGGGGAAAGCCATCCTATACCAAAGCCAGATAGCCCTGATGGAGGAAGCTGCTCCTCCATGGGGGCCTTTTCAGCCAACTGTGTGCCAAAGATGGGGACCCTTTGAAGAAGGATGTAGGCACACTGGTGTGGTTGGACTCAGAGTTCTCACTACTTCCATCTCTGATAGCACCTTGTTCCAGCATTAGCTGGACATTGGGAAATGAGACCTGTGAGGCTCCTGCTACTGCCAGTCTGAATAAAAGTGTGATATATTCCTGTACTCTGCTTGGGGGTCTCTTTGAGAAGAGAGACTGTGTTGGGGGTGGGAGTGGGGACAGAGTTTCCTCAAGACAGAAAGCTTCCCGAGGACTAGAGAGGGCTTCTGGGGGGATTCCCTAGTGTGGACCCTAGTGATATAGGTAAGAAGGTAGATGGACCCTCTATCTCTTCCCAGGAGGGAGGCTTAATAGAAATCCCTATGGTGTTTCATTGTCTCCACAGTGTGTCCCCCTGGAGAGTCAGGGCTTTGTTCTAGGCCACTACATCTGCCGCTGCCGACCTGGCTTCTATGGGGCAAACCACTCCAGGGGTATGTAACTGGGGTGAGGGCCAGGCACGTTTTATAGGTTGGGTTGTTTGGAGGTAGGTATCTGGGCAAGAAAGACAGTTGGGGTGAGACACTGGGAGGAAACTTGTGGGGCAGGGGAAGCAGGCACGGTCCAGTTTGGGGTGTCTGTGTCTTCTGAGAAAGAGCCCATAGCATGCCGACCTGATGCAAGCTAACCTTGCAATGAGCCCCAGCATGGTAGCCCCCCTTCCTGTTAGCTTGCCTTTCCCTGAGAGTACAACTTCCTCCTTCCTCCCCTCCTGACCCTAGCCCGGAGGCCATAAACTGCGGAAGGGTAGGGAGAGGGCTGTGGTGGCCATTGGGAGAGAAGGCTGGGATCCTAGGATGACCTAGTCATAACCTTCTCCCTGCACCCATCTTGTTCTTTTTAGGGTTAGAAGAGAGTGCTGCCCAGCCTCCTAGGCAATTCTGGTCCTCTCAAGGCAGCTTTGGGAGGCTGCTGCAGTGCCAGCCATGTGCTGAGGGCTGCACCAGCTGCAAGGATGCCACGCCATGCCTGGTAGAGGAAGGCCTGGCACTGCGGGCAGCACTACTGGCCTGCCAGGCCTGCTGCATGCTAGCCATCTTTCTGGGCATGCTGGTCTCCTACCGCTGCCGCCGGAGCAAGGCAAGGAAGGCCCCACATGGCTCTCCTCCACACAGGTGCTACCCATCTTGGGCCCCTGGGTTCACCTGACGACCAGAGACTGCCTAAGCCTAGAACTTGGGAGAAATAGGTTCTGGTCTTGATTATTAATTTAACTTTGTGACATTATGCAAGTGACCTCACTGCCTTAGACCTGCCTCACCTGTAAAATGAAGTCATTGATTCAAAGCATCATGTAAGCACTAGATGTGATCTGACCCTCCTGAGGCTCCCAGTTGAATGGAGGAAGCAGATATAAATAAAATGACAGCACCATGAGACAGGGGTGAGGACAGAGGTGTGTCAGTTACTGGGACTGCTCAGCGAAGGGATCCAGTTGGCCGGGCCCTGATGGCATGGGACTTTCTGGAGAACGTGACATTTGAGCTAGGCTTGAAGTTCAGCTGGATGGTTACCAGGCAGGGAAGGGGTATCTAGACAAGGGAGCAGTCTGACCCAAAGCCTGGAGGAACACATGAGATCCCATCTGACTCCAGCAACCTCCCATGTGAGGCCAGGTTTGCAGCATGGCCTGGGCTGGGAGGGGCATGGGGTGGAGCGGCAGGGGCTAGTGAAATCTTGGCCTTAGCCAAGCTTAGTGTCAGGGGAGCTAAGAGCTTGTGGTGGGAGTGCAGCATGGCAGAGAGTAGACCGAGTATTACAGGGCAAAGCCTAAGCCCAGGGCCACTGAGGGACCTCTAAAACAGGCCTGAGACCCTCCTGCATCCCTGCTTACATGCCTTGCTTTTCTGGGTTCACAGAGGATCCGGGCATCTGGAGTTGTTCTGCTGGAAGCCATCCTTTTTGGATCCCTGCTGCTCTACTTCCCTGTGAGTTTGTGGCCAGAGACTGATCCCACTGGCCAGGATCCCTGCAGTCTCTACCTGGCACCTTCCAAACCCCAGAATCCTTCCTTCTCTCTGACCCCTTGGGGGCACTCAGAGACCTCAAAATCCCCCCAGTCATATCCACCAATGGCAAGCTGGCATAGTGAGCTCTGGAGCCAAATAGTTCAGGCTTAAAAGAGCTGTGACCCACTGTGTGACTTGAGACCAGTTACCTAACCTCTGTTTAAGCTGCAACTTTGCAGAATGGAGGTGATGATGTGTGTATTGCTGGGAGGATCAGCAATGTGCTTAGCATAGGCCTAGTGCAGAGTGGTAGTGCAGTGGAGAGCAGCTGTTTTTGCCCCCCTCCTCACCAGGTCTTCATCCTGTACTTCAAGCCCAGTGTATTCCGCTGCATTGCTCTCCGCTGGGTCCGGCTGCTGGGTTTTGCCACTGTCTACGGCACCATTATACTCAAGCTTTATAGGTAGGGTCTGCGGCAGATCTTGCTCTCATGCTGCTCACCCCAGGCTACCCCAGCTCATTTCTGGAATGGAGTTCTTCACAGCCAGCCTCTTACCAGCTCCATTCCCTGTGCCCCCAAGGCCTGCTCCCATCACTATAGCTCCCTCCTTCATGTCACTTTTTTTGGGGGGAGGAGGCAGTAAACCATGGAAGGGTTGGGCAAATAGGTGTGGAGGGGAGGGAAGCAATGGACAGAGGCTGGAGCCTGGCCCCCTCCCCTTCATCCCCCTCACACCCTTGTAGAGTGCTCCAGCTGTTTCTGTCTCGAATGGCCCAGCGGGGCCCCCACCTGAGCAGTGGGCTGCTGCTGCAGCGTCTGGGACTGCTCCTGATGCTTGTGGTGGGCTTCCTGGCTGTGTGGACGTTGGGGGTCCTGGAACAAGGCATCCAGCACACGCCTCTGGTGACCCGAGGCCACACTCACTCAGGCCGCCACTTCTATCTCTGCTACCATGACCGCTGGGACTACATCATGGTTGTGGGTGAGTTGCTTCCACTCAGCCCAGCCTCTCTGGCCCTCAGCTCTGCACCTCCAGGGGTCCTCTTATCCTGGTCCTCCTGCTAGGTAACCAGACCCCTGGCCCAGCTTCCCCCAGCATGCCCTACAGAGAGAGGCAGCATGTGCCCAAATCTGTCCCTTCCTACTTCCCCACAGTTGAGATGCTGCTCCTGTGCTGGGGCAGCTTCCTCTGCTATGCCACCCGGGCTGTACCCTCGGCCTTCCACGAGCCACGCTACTTGGGCATCGCCCTGCATAATGAACTGCTGCTCTCTGCAGCCTTCCACACAGCCAGGTGAGGACGGGCCCCTCCTACCCATGACTCCTCCCACCCTAACACAACTCACCTCTCCCAGGTGAGGGTACCTTCATCCCATGGCCATCCTTGCAATACTGCCATGCCTCAGTGAGGAAGACCCACCACCTATAGCTCTCTCCCTACTTGACAGATACCCTTGCTGCCCCCTTGAGCTTCCCAACACCCACAAAGAAGAAGCACGCCCCACTCCTAAGCCACTTCTCCAGCACCATCATGCTCCTTCCCACACATGTTCAATTCTCCCTGCCTTCTTCCCCCTCACACCTCAGCTGGCCCAGCAGCAGACCTGCTATGAATATCCACAAGTACCTGGCCCTGTGGTGGAGGTAGAATCAACCCACAGCACAGTCCACAACAGAGGTGTGGAGCACGATTCCGTGCTACAGCCAGCCAGAGAAGGGGAGCTGGAGTAGTCAGGGAGAGCTTCTTGGAGGTAGAGGTTAAAGTGAGACTTGAGGTAGAATCTACCTCCTAGAGAGGGCAGGAAGAGCGAAGAGTGCCCTCCTTGCTCTACTGGGCACCTCCATGGAGATCAGGGCTGGGGATGGGGAGGTGAGCCAGTGAGCCAGCTTAAGGGGGAAGAGGCCCTTTCACCAGCAGCCAATGATCCCCTCACTCCCCACCCTCAGGTTCACGCTGGTTCCCTCTCTGCACCCGGACTGGACCCTCCTTATCTTCTTCTTCCACACGCACAGCACAGTCACAACCACACTGGCTCTGATCTTCATCCCTAAGGTGAGGTCTTCCCACTCCTGGGGGTGAGGAGTCTCCAGAACAAAGGGGCATTGTGAATGTGCTGCCGCTGCAGTGCCTTCTCCAGCTCAGAGTGAGGATGGCACCTTGGGGGTGCAGGCGCTGAGCCACAGAGGTCCTAAGCAAGGAGCCCACCTGAGCAGACAGGAGTAGGGAGGAAGCTACTGTGCTTCTGCCTCCAATCCTTGGGCAAGGAACTAAGAGCTGCGGCTAGAGGGGTCCTTGTATCACAACTGGAAGTTCGGCAGTCTGAAAATCAACTCGGAAGCACTTAGAGAGAGAGTTGGGGGAGCTGAAGGACATAGCTAGGAATTGTTTTGGTGGGGGGCTAGGACCTCCCTGGTCTTTGAACTGGAGAAAAGCAGGGAGGATAAGGGGGAGTAAAACTCTTTGGACCCCTGGGATTGCAAATCAAAGAAAGGGATGAATATTCACAAAGTAAGATGTAGTCCACGGGGCAGGTGGAATGGAAGTGAACAGGAATGAAGGTGACTCTTCCCAATCATGCCTGCGCTGGCCAGTTCTGGAAGCTGGGGGCTCCTCCCCGAGAGGAGATGGTGGATGAGGTGGACGAGGATGAGCTGGACCTGCAGGGCTCAGGCTCCTACCTGGACAGCAGCACCGCCTCAGCCTGGAGTGAGCGCAGTCTGGACCCCGGAGACATTCGGGTACCTGCCACCCTCCCCGCCTCCTTTTTGATGGTATCTGCTAGGTGCTGGGCAGGAAGCATTGCTGTCCTGCCTCCTGGGTTATGTGCCAGTGCGGGCCCCTTCCCCTGCCCCTAGCTTTCCCTCTCCCTAACACCTGCCTCCTCCCTTCTCCACACTTGCCCTGAGCTGCTTTCCCTGACTAGTCAAAGGAGGCCAGACACCACCCAGCTGGAAAGACCCCAAAAGTCCCAGAACCCAGATACCCGAGGCTCAGGCCACTTGGCAAGTTAGAGGCAGAGCCATGAGTGGAGCTCTAATCCCCCCATCCTCCACTCCCATTCAGCAGTGACATCCTGTGAGGAGTAGACTAAGAAGCCCCTCAGTCCCCAGCACACTGGGGCAGCTGGGTGACCTGAAGGCCAGCTGTGGGGCTGGGTAGTTCAGGCAGTGAGAGGCTATCAGAGAGTTTCCACACCAGCATCCCCTTTTCCTGGACCTGGAAGTCTAGAGAAAGGAAGTTCTTCCTGAATCTTTCATCAGGAGAGCATCCTTACTCTTATTTTTCTGCCTAGGAGTATCATTATTGTCACAGGAATGCTGATAGGAGGCTTAGAGGGCAGGAAATAAGAAGACCTGGAGGTTAACCCCATTGTTTTATAAAACCTAAGGTAGAGGAACCACTTCGTTTTCTCCATCCTCTCCACCTCCACCGGGACGTTGTTTAGAGCTCCCAGTTCCCAACTGGTCCCAGCTGCCATGTCCTCTCTTTCCCCCTGTGTCCTCCTCAGCTTTGGGCTCCCTGGGTATGGCCCCAGTCCAGCAGAGAGGCCAGGGAGTGTGGAGGTGCACTGCCAAAGCAGTGTCACCCTGGCCCTCCACTAGGGGAGCAGCAGCCAATCTACTCTCCCTGTGCTGGCTCTGGGGAGAAATGCAAAGTATAGGGCTGAATTTGAAGTCCCCTTCCGTCATCTGCACCTGAATGTGGCACTTTTCATGCACTGGTCCCAGCATTCTCATATAATCCTCTTAAGGAAGCCGGCATTAGGTGTCTAGTTATTGTTACTTCACAGAAGTACAGACTAAGAGTTTAAGAAAATAGCCTTGAGGCACATGATGGGTCAGCAGCCTCAAACCCAGGTTCCTGTCCCCCAAGCTGGTGACCTCCCTCCAGTCCACAGAGAAGTGAATGCTCACTGTGTCCTCAGAGATGAGTGGGTCTGGCCTGGAACTAGGGTGCCTCCTGCAGAAGTAGAGAGGTGAATCCTGACAGTTTTCAAAGCAGGATCCCCCAGAGGAAATGGTCTAAATAAGGGCTGAAGGGGAGAACAGTGCAGCCAGGGGATGGAGAGAGCTTAGCTTGTCCATCTGAAGGTCAACTCTGCTCTCATCATTCCTCCCTCCCCTCAGGATGAGTTGAAGAAGCTCTATGCTCAGCTAGAGGTCCACAAGACCAAGGAAATGGCTGTTAACAACCCTCACCTGCCTAAGAAGCGGGGCAGTGCACACCAGGGCCCGGGCCGCTCCTTCATGAGGTACCTGGCCCAGTTCCCAGAGGCCCTGAGCCGGCAGCACTCTCGGGACTCACGCTCCCCGAGCCGCAGCAGCCTGCCCAGCTCCTCCCGCCGCAGGCTCCTCAGCTCCAGCTTCCAGGAACCCGAAGGGCCACCAGCTCTGCGCAAATCCCACAGCACCTACGACCACAACCACCGCAGGGAGCAGAACCCGCCTCTCCTCAACTCTCTGCTGAGGAGGAAGCTGGCCAAGAAAGCCTCACAGGCAGAAAGCAGGGAATCAACAGAGGGGCCCCCTGCCCTGGGCTTCAGGTCAGCCAGTGCCCACAACCTGACAGTGGGGGAGAGGCTCCCCAGAGCCCAGCCAGCCTCTTTGCATAAGTCGCTCAGTGTTGTGACTGGCTCCAGTGAAAAGGCCCTGCTCATGGTCAGCCAGGCCTACCTGGAGGAGACCTATCAGCAGGCGAAGGAGCGAGAGGAGAGAAAAAAGGCAGAGGCGGCCTTGGTGAGCCCCATGCGGAGGCCATCAGCCAGGAGGCTAGAGCGAGCTCAAGGCTTTCCTCTGTCAGCCCCACCTTCCCCTGCCAAGAGCAGCAGCGTGGACAGCTCCCACACCTTTGGGAAGCTTCATGAGGAGGCTGCAAAAAGGCTGCCTCACTCACCCATGCGGCACCAGGTCTCCACACCCATCATAGCCCTGTCTGGGGCCTGTCTCGGAGAGCCAAGGATGCTGTCTCCCACCTCCACTTTGGCTCCAGCTCCAGCTCCAGCCCCAGCCCCAGTCCTAGTACCCCCCCAAAGCCCTAGCTTACTCACCTACATCTGCCCCTGGGAGAATGCAGAACTGCCAGTCAAGAAAGAAAACATGGCTCAAGAAGGCCCCTCAGGGCCAGAGCGAGGCAACCACCTCCCTGCCCCAGTTCGGGCTAGGCTCTGGAGGGCCCTCTCTGTTGCAGTAGAGAAAAGAGGGGCTGGGGAGAATGGGATGGACACAGAGGGCAGGTATGTCCAGGGGGAAGCTGAAGACATGGATGAGAACAGGCCCAAGGTCTCTAAATCCCAAAGCCTCAAGACCCCTGTTCAGCAAGGCTCCATGCGCAGTCTGGGACTGGCTATCAAGGCTCTGACCCATTCTCGGAGCACATACAGAGAGAAGGAGAGTGGGGAAGGGAGACCTGAGAAAGAGGAGAAGGGCAGAGCTTCCGGAGAGGGTGTTGGAGCATGCCCCAGATCTCCCAGGCTAGGCCGGCTCAAGGTGATGAGTAAGCAGGCTGCCCTTGCCCCCTGTGATGATGAGCTGCTCCAGAACCAACAGAATGCTCACACCAGCAGAATGCTCCAAGTCTGTCACCAGGAGGGCAGCAGGGAACAAGCAGACAGAGGCAGGAGGACATCCCAGGGTCTAGGAGAGGGGAAAGTTGAGACAGCAGGGAAAACAGGGCCTGCCACACCGAGACAAGTCAGGCAGGGCACAGCTGGGGACAAAAGTGCTGAGCAAGCAAAAGAAGCCCCTGTGTGGTGTCCAGAACTGCCCAGAGCTGGCCTCCAGCCCCTGGCCACTGCTGACCACAGGCCTGCAGAGGTATGTCCCCTGGAAATCACCGAGTCAGAAATGTGTCAGCCTGACAGTAGCAAGGCTGAAATCTGCCCCTGGGAGGTGAGTGGAGCCCCTGAGAAGGGGACATTAAGACAAGACCTAGTAGATTCCCAAGAAGAGAGAGGGAAAGCCTCAGGAAAATCAGAGCCCAAAGATGTGGTTGCTGTTGCTCGGAAAAAGCCAGAGAGGCTGGTCAGGGGGCAGGAGGCAGTGTGTCCCTGGGAGAGTGCTGATCCCAGGAGTCTTTCCTGTGTGTCAGCCCCTCAGCACTCTGATAAAACCAAGGGCAGGTCTGACAAAGTGGGTAGCGTGGAGGCCAGAGTGCTAGCGAAACATCAGCGGGAAGTCACTAGCCCAGACGCTTCTACAGCTGGCATTGCTAAAGCAGAGCTCTGTCCCTGGGAGGCAAGTGAAGGAGACAATGGGAAACCATCCCAGGAGAGGGTAAAACAGCTCCCCAAGAAAAAGCAGAAAACCCCCAAGAAAGCCTTTTGGGAAGAGCAGAAACTAGGTGGAGACTTGGAGTCTCTGTGTTCATGGGAGAGGACAGATTTCCGGGGTCCCTCAGCAGTCTCTACCCAGACCCCAGGAAACCTTGGTTACCCAGAGAGTTTGGGCAATAGCATCACAGAGGTGTGTCCATGGGAGGCAAGGGATGCTCCTATCAAGAAAGCAGAGATCTGTCCCTGGAAGCTGGATGATGAGGGAGTGGGGAAGGAAATGCTGAGTCAGGGGACAAGTGGAGACCCTCTCCAGGAAAAGGGGAAAACTTCCAGAAAAGGGCTCGATGGAGAGATGGAACAAACTGGGAAAGCAGTGCAGAAACTGAGTCAAGAGCAGGGGTTGGTGTGTCCCTGGGAGAGCATAGCCCCTGGGCACTCCAGATCATGTCTAGACAATTCCTCATCCAAAGCTGGTGGCCAACTCCTCAGCAATGGAGGAAGCAGAGTAACGCAGGTATATCCACGGGCAGATCTCAGGCCAGAGCTAAGGGACACACCACTTGCCAAGGCAGAAAGGTATCCCTGGGAGGTTAAAGAGAGAACAGAGGATTGGACATTGGGACAGGCATCACCAGAAGGAGAACCTCAAAAGGATAAGGATAAAATGCCTGGAACATCAGGAATCAAAGATGTCACAACTTGGGAAAAGCCTGAGGGGCAGATCCAAAAGCAGGAAGAGGTCTGTCCTTGGAACAGTGTGGACCCGGGCAGCTTCTCTCCACAATCAGGTCCTCAAGACACAGATAAGCCCAGAGCCAGTTTCCAAACGTCAGGCAGCGTGGGAAGCAAAACTGTTGAGATCTGTCCCTGGGATGTGGAAGAAACCCTGCCTGCAGAGATGGCAGAGATGGCAGAGATCTGTCCCTGGGAGGTGAGTGCTGAGGCAGGGGAGGAGAGGGCTTTGGAAGCTGAGGCCAAAAGGAAAATTTCAAACAAAGCAGGAAAGACTTCTGCAGATTCTAGACCCAGCAAGATGGCTGTTATTTCTCCAAAGAAGCTAGAAAGACCAGTCCTGGAGCAGGAGGTGGCTTGTCCCTTGGATTCAGGGGATTCCTCTCAGCATTCAGACACTCTGGGCACTGACAGGCCAAAAGCTGGATTCCAGGGACTAGACCATGCAAGGAGCAGGCCAGCTGAGGTGTGTCCCTGGGAAGTGGAGGAAGCACCTACTAGAGAAAAAGTCAAGATCTGTCCCTGGGAAGTAAATGAAGGAGCTACTGGAAAGGGACTGGATCAAGAGACAGGGAGTGATTCAGCAGGGAAGAGGGAGAAAACTCTAGAAAAGGGGAGCCTCACCTCCTTGGGAGAAAACATACCAGAATGGAAGACAAAACTGAGTCAAGAGCAGGAAATCATTTCTCTTTGGGAGAAGAAGGACTTGAAGGAAACTTCTGCTCAGGCTCCTGAAGTCTCAGACTTGTCCAGCAGCATGAGCAGCAAAGTGGCAGAGGGACACTGCTGGGAAGTGAGTGATGAAGCAGCAGAGAAAGGAGACCTGACACAAGACCCAAGGACAGGCTCCTTCCCGGAACGTATAACCCGAGAAAAAGCTCCATCTTCAAAAACAGGAGAATCCACTACTGAAGATGGGATTCAGGCAAGCACTGAGCTACAATCTCTCTGTCCGTGGGAGAGCATGGCCCCAGCAGACTACTTCTCCCACCCAGACAGACAAGGCCCTGATCGATCTAAAGCTGGCTCTCCAAGACTGGTCAGTGCTGGGCGCAGGCTCACTGAGGTGTGCCCATGGGATGCCCCTGCCTTGGCTGCCCATAAACCTGACAGCAGCGCCAAAGCTGAGATCTGTCCCTGGGAGGTGATGCAAAGAGTCACTGAGGAAGGGATGGGACGAAAGGATGGAAATGGGAATCCTCAAGAAGAGAATGGGAAAGCCCAAGGAAAACCAGAATCCAAAGCTGTGGCAGTTCAGGAGAAGCCAGACAGGGTAGATGGGAAGCAGGAGGGTGTGTGTCCCTGGGAGAGTCAAGATTGTGGGGGTCTGTCTCCACAACCAGCCCCACAAGCTTCAGATAGAAGCAAAGGCAGTTCAGAGGCAGCAGGCAGTGTGGAGGCCAGGGTAACAGAAGAGTGTCCGTGGAAAGTAGAAGAGACTCCCTCTGATAAGAAAGCAGGAATCTGCCCCTGGGAGGTGAGTAAAGGAGCAGCACAGAAAGGGGGGCTGGAGCAAGAGGTGGACAGAGACTCCCCCGGGCAAGGAGAGATGTTCCTTCAAAAGGCAGGATCTGGAGGAACTGAAGAACACTTTCCAAAAGCAGCAGCAAAAGTCAGCAGAGAGCAAGAGACAGTCTGCTCTTGGGAAGGCACAGGTTTTGGGGGCATCTGCCTCCACCCAGATGCTTTGGACACTGACTGGCCCACAGTCAGTCCCTATGGAGCAAACAGTATGGGGAGCAAGGTGGCAGAGCTGTGTCAATGGGAAGTCACAGATCCAGAGGGAAATACAATAAAGGGCACCATGGCAGACATTGGGCTTTGGGAGGGAACTGAAATCCCATCTGAGGAATCCAGCCTCCTTGCTTTAACAGCAACTCCGACAGAAATATTTTCTCCTACAGCTCCAGATAACCCACCATGCCCTTTAGTCCACAGACCTCAGGATAATTTCCTTCAGGAGAGCAAAAGCCCCCACCCAGAGGTGAGCAAGCAGGCCAGTACTTTTACTCTAGAAGGTGTCAGAGAACTCCAAGAACTTCCAGAATTTAGGCCAAGGACCAGCTTCACCCCAGAGCCAAGGTTCCAAGAAGCTGAGGCTCAGATGTCTTTTTCCTTAACTGACCAAGGAGAAGAAGCTTCTAAAGCTGAACATGGAGAACTCACCCCTCCAGCTGTCTACCCTTGGGATCAGGAGTAAAAACTACATCGGGTGAGCTAGCTCTTGGGAGCCAAGGTCCATTCCAAGTCCTGGGTACTCCCAAAGAGCTGAATCAAAGACACTTGGCCACTTCCCATCTCCAAGAAGGCCAGAAGATAGTTCATTCCAAAGATAAATTATACAAGGGGGTACAGCTCAGACCCCAATAAAGTCCCACCCTCTTTACTTCTAACCCTTCTTCCTGCTCCAGGGAGCAAAGGCTGCTTCTAATGAATCCTCCCCTCCAGCTAGAGTATGCAACACAGCCCATCCAAATGTGTCTGGATTCTCATCTGTAAAGTCAGTATTAGGGATGAAAGGAAGTATTAATGGTGCCCAGCCCACATTTTCTCATAGAGAAACCCCATTCTTTGCTGAAGTCTATGAAAGACCATTTTTTGAGAAGAAACTAAACCACGTGAGGCATTGGCAACACAGGGACTGAGGATCATAGAAGGCTATAAGGTCACCAGAGGAAGTTTAAGAAGCCACTTACGAGTTCAAAGATAAATCGGAGGAAAACCTTAAATGGCTCAAAAGAGGGGTCTGAAATGCCTAAGGACCTTGTCATTTTGCCTTTGACCTCGTTTCTGCTTTAATGATCCTCACACAGACTCTACTTACTGCTGAAACAGAGCTAATCAAGCACTTTTACATTCATTTCAGCATCTTAGCATCCAAAGCAACATGAGAGCACACAGATGGAAAGGCAATGGACGGCTTCAGGCCCTCCCCACACTGGCCAAGGGAGTTCCCTCTTCCAGACACCCTCTCTCCCAGTTTAAGGAATATACCTCTTGCTAGCCTTTTCAGAGGGTCTCCCCTTCTTCCTGCCCCATCTGTGGCCAGTCTCTGGAGTTCATCTCACTGGCTCATTCTCTTAGCCTTTCAAGTGGAGGGACCCCTCTGTTGTCAATGCAACTGGAGCAAAGGAGAATTTCTGGTTCTGATGTGAGAACCACTCCAAACTCACTCAGTAACAAGAGGCCCACATCAGTATCCTTTCCAAGAAGCCTGAGAAAGAAACAAGGCCTTGTTTACAGGCAGCACTATAACTGCTCTCAGAGAGTAGTGCTACAGGGCAGGTTAGAGGCTTGAGGGCTGGGGAAAGGGCATTGTGTATAAACAAAGCCTTCTTTCTTAGGGAAATCTCTCTCTCAAGATCTTTGCTTGGCTCTATTCTCTAAAATCAGCTCAAGCTACCCTTGCCTAAGTGGTCCCAGATAATAGAGTTGCTGGAATTAGATAACATTACCAGAGGGAAAAAACACTGGTCAAAGGATTCCCAGCATTGGCAGGGGTGAGGTGGGTGTGGAAAAACAGACGACACATTAAACATGGCAGAGCTAGGCAGGGGCACTTAAGATGGCAGTAAACATACCCTCGAACTGGACATACTGATGCAATTCATGGAGAGGAAAGAGACAAAATGAGGAGGCCAAATACCCAATGGGAAAAAAATGAATCTGCATGTAAATACTCTACGCAGCTACAGGACTTCACAGAAAAAGCAGCACAGTGCTCCACTTCCAAAAAGCAGAAGGAAAGGAATAACCCACTCTTTCAGGGACCAGACACCCTTGTTCTCATATGTAGGCCTTCCCACTTGCCTGGGTCCCTTACCCTGGGCTTTCAGAGCAGCAACTGAAGTACGTAGTTGCTCCAGGCTCCAGCTAGCCAACCCCACAGCTTCCCAGCCAGTGAGAATTTTGCAAACCGCACCTCAGAACAATTCCATGGGTCTAGTCTAGTGGGGAACAAAAAAGCTGTCCCTATAACCACTGTTTATGAAATAAACCACAGGGAAAAAATAAAAGAATGCTTTTTCTTGACCACTGCAGTTGGTTCTAGCTTATTTGTTATGATTTTTTTTCAATGTTTTTAAGTAAGAACAGTAGACAGGTAAAGAAAGAAGAACTACGCTGCAGCCTTCAGGACCCTGGATCTGGCTAATTCTCAGCCAGTGCCCAGCTCGGTGGCTGGCACTGGAGATGGTCTCTGCCTGGCCCTTTAAGCCAATTCTTTACATCTGAGCCATTAGCTCAGCTGGATTTGATCCCAACGGGACACAAAAACTGCACTCATCCTCTGACTCCCTGGTAACAGCTATTGCTTGGCTGTTTTGCAGGATTACCTAGAGACTCCCAAGACAGACTGAGGGGAGTGGGGCAAAATGGCCTTTTCCAAGTACTGTTTTTACATATTCAGGGAAATCAACGGGTCATTTGCCTATTCACTTTGTTTTTGTTTCTCTGCTTCCCTACCTCCCTAGATTATCTCCCTTTACTCCATACTCACTGGCCGTGGATGCTGCTCAAAGCACTTGCTTCTAATTTTTGCGTTAATCCAGGGTTTAGGCAAATGGGATGTGACCAAACCTCACTTGGGCAGCAATGACGCAAAGTGATGTACATTTTAAGCCAAAAGGGTTGCGACTAAGTAGCTGCTTTGGATTAACCCGGCAATGCTGCCTCTCCCCTCAGCATACACATATTGCTTCCACAGCCAGCATTCAGCAACTATTGTAAAAACACATCAGTGTCTCCCAGTGTGGTCTGGTCTGCTTGCTGCTTTGCTGAGATCGTGGTTTTAGAGAGATCGAGCAGTTAGGTTATTCTTGACTTGATTCCAGTTTCTTTGGCCTCTATTTTCAGGACAAGGTCAGAACCGATTAATCTTGACCTAATGATAGACTCCTTAAAAGCAAATTGTAGGCTTGAAAAACAGAGAGCATGAGAATTAAGGTCCTGTTTTTTAGGGGGAGCCCATGCTGGGCTAATGAAAGCAACAGCCAAAAGGCCAAGCTTGCTGCTAGTACAGAGTAATTTCCCTTGTCATACTTTGGATGACCCGGGATGCATGAGCAGGTGAAGTCCCACATCCTCCTCCTGACAGCCCAGCTGGAGCTAAGGAATAAGGAGGGGCTGGGCTATCTCACTCCACCAGGTTCATAAACTGGTATACGTGCTTTCCCAATGCAGGAATAGTCACTCCAAGGAGTGCTAGAAAGAGGGAACAAAGTCTTATAGATGGATTTCCCAAATGTATTAACTCCTCCATGGCCCCTGCCTTCCCCAAACTTTCTGGATCACACCAGGATGATAATATAATCCAAAGGCTGAGGAATAAATGATTTCTTTAGATTTACATTCTTCTATGAAATACAAATGCTGATTAACTGGATTAGTGTATGAGAAAAGAGCCTCTTATATCAACATCATTTTTCTCAAGTCTGGATTTCCTGGATGTCACATCACTCACAATTCAGTTTGTCTCCCATTTCTGCCATTTGAAGGCTGGTCTACTTCCAGCCTGAACCAGGGGAAATGTACAGAACCCACTACAATTTGTCCAACGTCTGATGGTGTTTTATTTCAAACTCTAATCCCTATTTTGTGATTATAAAATTCTGCCAGTTTGCTCCTGACAGTCCCTACTGCAAGAAAAATGGGTATTAGGTAGTCTCTGAAACACACTTTTATCTAGATTTAGAAGCTAGGTATATAATTATAAAAGAAGTAAAAAAAGTGGGTCCACGGCTGTGCGTGCCAGCCACCCACTGGGGCCCAGCCATCAGCCGTGGTTGTCGAGGGTGAAACTGCTAAAAAGACCCAAGCAGGACAGAAGACAACAAAGTAGGTTCTTTCTATAGCCTGATGGAGATGGATGACCACATAGCTCCCAGACTCCCAAACTTTACAGCCAAGCTTCCAGTCACCTCATCACCCCTGCTTCACTCCAGGAGGTATTTTTGCTATCAGGCTAGCTGAGGCTTAAGGGCCTCTCCCTGTGACCCTTGTGGTTCTTCATAGTCTTCCCAGGGTTTCAGCTGGGGGCCAGGGATCATCACCGTCTGAAAGAGCAGGAAGCTGAGTTATCGACCACCCAAGCACATGGCTTAACCAAGAGATTCACTGCCCCTTCCTACATGCCTACCCCAACAGGATTTCCCTTCCCTGGAGCTGCATCACCCCCTCTCTCCACTAGGTGGAGCCCAACAGGAGTGGCTTAGGATGTACATGAATACTGCCTCAGGCCTCTTAAATGAGGCAAGGGCCTTACCTTAAGGATGGGCTGCTTAGGGGGTGCCCACGGTGGGACGATCTTGGCATGCATTCTCCAACTCCCATAGGGGTTAGTCAAGTGCTTTTCAAACACAATATACTCCAGCACATCCCTGGGCACATCCTCCTGTCCATACATCAACCGGCCAAACCGGTCATAGATAGCCAGCGTCTGCATGGATGAAAGCAAATCTGGCCTGTTAGTCCGTGTTTTGTTTTTTTCTTTGCCATACTACCATTTTTCCAACCACCATAACAATAAACTTTAGAGGGTAGAAAAAAATTATCTCAGAATTCTGAATCTTGACTAACTGACGTACTGATTATTCTTAGAGGATTTTTGACCAGGGTTGGGGGGACAGGGGTGTCAAGACCAGGAAGGGTGAGAAAGAATATTCTCATACTTGTCTTAGTAGAGCTGACATCTAGCAGTGGGAAGGGCACAACGACAGAACAGGGTAAACCATGGCAAACCTTGTCTTAGACCCCAAGTCTTGGGCATCTGTATCCAGGACTCCAGAGAGAGGTGCCCAACCTGAGAGTGAAGAAAAGCCAGAAGGATGGTATCTCTACCTGCCGAGTGTGCATGCGGATGGTGACCTGGCCATATATGTTGCCCTGGCTCAACAGGCTTGAACAGCGAACCTGAGCCACCTGTGATGGCTCTAAAGATTCTATGAAGCTCCAGCGGACGGTCTTATATTTGATGTCCCAGACCATGTCCTGAGGGCAGAGGAGAGCAAGTTCAACTGGGTTTTTCCCTCCCTTTAGGGAAACTGGTACTTCCTTCCACACCTGTTCTCCCTTCTTGCAACACTACACCGACATGCAACATTTCCCATCAAAGGCCTTCTTATGCCTACTTTCTCTCTCACCTTCCTAAATTGTGATTCAGCTACTGCTTAAACCCACTTCACAGCAACTCTCTTTTCATCCAAGTCACAACTCAAGACCCGTCCACCTCCTTGAGGACTCTTCTCCAAGTCAATGAAAACCACACTTCAAACTAATACATCATTATCCCTCCCATATACTTTCATGATCTGCTAATTACTGAATGCATTTTTTACTGTATATATATTGTTTTTCCCCCCTCACCTTTTGGAGGTGAAGGATGGGATTTTACAGAGATCATAAAGTCTAAATTGCTAAGACTAGGTTGGCTACACTTGACCCTAGGGAGATGAGGCTGAATTGACAGAAACTGAAGTTCTTATTCTTGATCCACAAAGTTCCCATTTTCAGGAGTCTCCCAAAGTACCTAGCACCCTTATTAATACACAATGTTAAGTCTCATGAATGATTGCCAAATCCTTTATTATACTCCAGGTATGCGTAGGGCTGGCCTACTGTGGCCCATACCTTGACCTCAGGATGGGTCCCAGAGGCTTCAGTACTGCTTGCTAAGGGACTTCCTCCTTCTCATCTGCAGTGCCCTTACCAGCGTTTAAGACACTCATTATCATTTGGCCAAAAATAAAGAAACTTAAGCTTTTTCCTTAAGTTTCCTGCACTTTCAAAACTAATCCTTCTTATGAAAACCAGAAGTCATGTCTACAATCTGCCATTCAGACACCCACAGCTCTGAGGAGGATGAGAACCTACCGGAAAACAGTTTTCAGTTACCAAGGTATGAAGCCGGTCATGATCTGAGCTAAAAACGAAAGAGAAATATATCACTGACTTTTGCTTTTATGATACCCTGTAAGAAAATTAAAAATGGCCCTTAAAATGGAAAACAATTGGTTTTACCAATACATGCTGCACACAAACTATAAACCATGCAATATGCTATGTCGTGGGGACATAAAGATGAACATGATTTAAAAGAAAACCTTGAAATCTAATAGAAGAGTAAAGTTATGTTTGAATCTCAGAAGCAGAAAGAAATTTCTCTGAAATTACCATACATCCTTTAGATGGGCAAGAGACCCTCATAGGGACATGGGTATCAGTCTTCGCTCTAAGCTGCTATGGGGAATGAAATCCAACGCAAATAGTCAAAAGCTCAACTTATCTTACCTCGGACACATCAATGGTACCAACTGGCTTAGCTGTGCATTTCACACTTGTATCTATGAACCTAGCCAAAAGATAATCATCTGTCTTTTCTGGTCTTTTCTTTTTTTCTCCCCATCTTTGTTGCTGCCAGAGTGACCTAATTGTGCTGATTCTATGCTGTAAGAATAAGAAAACAGACATTCCAGCTCCTGTACATACAGGATTTTAGGAGAGTTCTTAACTGAGAGATTTCAAATAAACCTAAGACCACAGATGAGTTTCTTTCAGATACACATGCATGACTTTTCCCCAAAGTTTAATACTTTCTGGGCAGTTTAAGTCTTCATCCCTTTGAAAAATCTTATCTCTAATCCCAGAGTGAGTAAGAGATCAGTTCTATCTGCTTCTCTTCTACCTTTATTCCTAATAGAAAATATTCCAAGACATTTCCCCCACAGTAGCTCTCAGACTAGACTGAGTTGTGTTGGCAGCTACCACCAGCAAGTCTGCACCTCTAACAAACTCTTCCCCCTCACTATCCTGGCCTATAAATCTTCAGTAGAAATAACTCCCTTTTCTATGACTTTACTTACTATTCTGCAATAGAACTTACACTGAAGAATGAAGAATAAAAGAAAGAGATTTGTTTCTGGCAACATAAGGACTGAGCTAATGTGAAACTACTCTCACTATAAACATCTAGGAATGTTGGATAGAATATAATACATGCACACATGCACATTTCCAAAAACTGTAGCTTAGTTCACAAGAAAGA